AAAACTCAATTCATCACAAGAGAGTAGAGGGGGAGAAACATCATAAGATCCAACTATAATAGCAAAGCTCGCGATACATCAAGATCGTGCCATAGATAGAACACGAGAGAGAGAGAGAGAGAGATCAAACACATAGCTACTGGTACATACCCTCAGCCCCGAGGGTGAAATACTCCCTTCTCATCATGGAGAGCGCCGGGATGATGAAGATGGCCACCGGTGAGGGATCCCCCTCCGGCAGGGTGCCAGAACGGGCTCCCGAGAGGCTTTTGGTGGCTACAGAGGTTTGCGGCGGCGGAACTCCCGATATATCTTCTGTTTCGATGTTTTTAGGGTACGTAGGCTTATATAGGCGAAAGAAGTCGGTCGGGGGAGCCTCGAGGGGCCCACAAGAGGGTAGGGCGCGCCCAGGGGGGTGGGCGCGGCCCCCTATCTTGTGGCTTCCTTGATGCTCTTCTGACGTGAACTCCAAGTCTCCCGGATCTTATTCTTCCTAAAAATCATGCTCCCGAAGGTTTCATTCCGTTTGGACTCCGTTTGATATTCCTTTTTCTTCGAAATACTGAAACAGGCAATAAAACAGCAATATGGGCTGGGCCTCCGGTTAATAGGTTAGTCCCAAAAGTAATATAAAGTGTATAATAAAGCCCATAATCATTCAAAACAGATAATAGAATAGCATGAATGCTTCATAAATTATAGATACGTTGGAGACGTATCACTTGTCGACTTTCAATGCCCATGAGATGTATTCTTCGGGATCGTTGCTTCTGGAGAACTTGGGCATGGTGAACTTGAGCTTGCCGTAGCGGAGTTCTTCATCATAGTGACGGTGTTGATGTTGCTCTTGGCATGGAATAGGGTCTTCAAGCACTCGATCTGCTTGGTGTTGCTCTTGACATGGAGGATGATCTTCGTCGTGATTGCGCTCTGGGTGTAGAGGAGGTCGAGGCATATGTGTCCGGTTTCGCCTTTCTTGTTGTTCTTCACGTCGGTCGGCGTCTTCTTGTCGTGCTTGATGAAGTGCTTCTCTTGCTCACGTACGTGATGGTTGTGTTGGGCAACAACTCGAGTGGACTCTCGGAGCGCGTCTTGAGCCGCTTGAGCTTGAGCTTCATGACTTTGTTGTTCTTGCCGGATTGCATGGCCATCTTGTGATGCTTAACGTGGACGATGTGGTTGTGGTTGCTCTTGATCCATGGCTTCTTGTTCTTGGCATCGTGCATTTTCACGTGCACAAACTCGGTCTTATAGGCCATTGCCATGTAAAGGATTTTCTTGAGCTTGGTGATCTTGAGTTTCGTCGCGTCGAGGAGGACTCGCATCATAAGAAGAGTATGACGATGAGTGACGACTTGAGTGGCGCCGTCTTGGCGAAGAGGTTGAGGAAGATGCGCAGCTCACGATCATGTTGCGGAATTCTTCCATTTGTTTGGAGAGCTTGGCATTGAGTTAGTCCCTTTGTCTTGCTTCCGATTGTCATAGGTCGATGACGAGTTGCTCGATGCGATCACCCAAAGCTTCACTTTCTTGATGTAGAGTTTGTCGCGCGATGAAGACGTGATTCTTGGTGACGAAGTCGCGTTCGTTATCTTGATCCGCGAAGAGAGGGTTCATCGAAGAAGTGGGCCTATCCATCATGTAGAAGTAGTGTTGAGTAGGAAAATGAGAGAACAATACCAAAGATACCTTTTCTGAAGATTGTGGATGTATCAAGTACGATCCCACGTGATGCTATAATAGTAGAATTGGTATCGGGTTTCGTTTCTCACACCTACAAGTAAAAGGCTTATGGAGGATCTCTATTAGGAAATGTCACAAATAATTCAAGCGAATGTTAGCCAAGGATGTCGAAAAATTTGAAAAGATGCACAAATCACGAGTAAGACAAATAGATCGAACCCAAGGATATAACTAGGAACCCACGCACGAAAGATAAATGGGATCCACACAACCAAGGAATGAGCTCTAAGAGGTGGAACCACGGAAAAGCTCTTGTTGTACAGATACTAAATAGACATAGCTCAATTTCTCTAATGGGCTAGATACTCTAGTCCACCAACCTAAGAGAGAAACGGGTCGTCTACTATCCCAAGTATGCTTAAGTATGTCGTGACCAAGATGATGTAACTATGCTATGAGGCTCGATGCTATTGCTTACAAGCTCTTTGCTTATATTTTCTTTTTCTTAAAAGCTTCTTCTCTTTTTCTTTTTGTCTATGCAACAATGCTTGATATGCGAGCCGGAATGCGAGATCCAAGTAGGATATGCACGAGAGAGACGTAACACTAAAGGTGCACTAAAAGTGTGGCCCGACAATTCTCAACTCGCTAGTTTTGATGGGTAAGTGATGCAAAAGAGGCTCGAGGCTATCAAGATAATGGCAAGAGTAATACAATGGTTTCGTCGAGGTTACCGTCCTTCCTTACGGTTGGTATGAAGATGGAGTGGTCAAATCTGATGTGGAGTCCAAGTCGATGATGAGTGACGGTGATGATGAACACAAATCGCACCTAAGTATCCGAAACACCTTAGGACACGTGAGAACCGCAACTCCAAAACTCAAACACTCACGATAAGTATTGCGGAAGATCAAATGTGGTGGTGGAAAGGCAAAATTGTGGAAAAATGGGTATGGCCGAACTGCTCTGTATGGCACATGTGCACGGGGTAAGTGATGCCCGTGTGCACGAGGTCCCGATGGCCCGTGCGCACGGGGTGTTCTGGGAGCGCAAGAACACCTTCGGATCCGTGGGGATTTTCAAAATTCTGGCCAAAATCGATGGTGGGAAGGGTGGGTAATGGTGGTAAGGGGTAGAGATCCACTTGTCAAACACCAAATTCGTGAATCAAATCAACCAAATCTCACAAGAACCAACAAATTTCAAGAAAATTTTGGGGCTATTTTTGGTGGGGATTTTTGGATTAGGACGAAAAACAACAAAATCAAGCTAGCAAATGGGGGTAGGGATTCCAACATGTGAATCAACCTTGCTCATGATACCAAGATGTTGTAGGGTGAAACGCTAAGAGGGGTCTTTTCACACTTGGAAGGGAAAAAAGGGAGGAACACCAAGAACACAAAGAGGAATTCACTCCAACAAAACCCAATTACACATCCACTAGAATAGCAAACACATAGATCGACAAGAATACATGAACAATCAAGGGAAACAAGCACCAGGTAAAGGTTCTTCCCACTCCTAAGGAGATGAGGTCTTGATGATAATCTTCTCAAAGTGGAGGTCTTGAAGTCCACAAGTGGATCCTCTCCTAAGAGGCCTTGATCTCCAATGGAGGGGGTAGAAGGAGCAAAGCTCTCAAATATCTTACATATGTCTTCTCTAACCCTAAACATGATCCTAGGTATGGAATATATAGGCTTGGGGACGAAGTAGATGAAGTGGAGGCCCAATAGCGAAACTCAGCCGGCCATCCTTGTAGGGCCCGGTCCCATGTGCACGGTACACGCCCGTGCGCACGGGATGCTACAGCGCAAACTCCCTGGATAGCCCATGGACACGGAGTCTCAGGGGCCCGTGTGCACGGGGTCGTTTGGGACCTGCAGACTTGCTCTTCTTGGTCTCCTTCTTCCTCCGTGGGGACTCGGGGTGCTTCTCCTCCTCCTTGGTGGTGTTCCGCTTCGTACCTAATGATACATAATGCGTTTTTGTGAGGTAGCAACCAAGTTCCACTCATGTCCATATGCATGTCAAGTAGGAAGGAATTCACCTCGGTTTCCATTGTGTGTGCTTGAGCTCTTGTCATAGGTCCACGTAGTGCTTGGTGCGTTGGTATAGAGTCCATGGGGATGATGGAAGGATGCTCCGCATCAGCACATATCTTTCTATTCAAATACTAAGGTGCCTCCATTTAGAGCTTCTTAGTGTGTCGTTGGTTGTGGGGGTCATGGGCCTGCTTATAAGGGTGTGTACCTGGTTGAGAGTAATCTACACCTATGTTGTGTAATGCTTTCCTCAAAAGAAAATATAGTTTGTAATGCCTCGGTCGTTTTTTCTCGCTTTGAGAATGTTTTGGGAGGTATTGCATGGTTTTTGTTTATTTTATTTTATGTGTTTTCCCTTCTGATTTAATAGTTTTTATTTGGGTTTTTACCCATTTTTCCTTTTTGTTTCTCATGTTTTCTTCTCTTTTTATTTTTATTTTCATATTATAGTTCATTAATATTTGTTGAAATTTGTGAACATTTAAAAGAATCATGAAAGTTTCTAAAATACATTAACATTTTTTAAAATTCATGAATATATTTTAAGTTCATGGACATTTTAAAGTATGCAAAACATTTATAAATCTGTGAAGCTTTTTTCAAATTCACAAACACTGTTTGAAATCCATGAATATTTTTATAATTTCATAACATTTTTAAAAATTCAAGTTTTTTTAATTCAGAACATTTTGAAAATCCAAAAATTTTAGGTTATTGAAAATATTTGTATTTAGCAATTTTTTAAAAAAATACATTTTTTCTGTGTTATCAGTGGAGTGAGCAAGGGAAAAAAGCTAAGCAAGCGAGCGGAGCATGGATGTAAGTTGAGTGAGTGAGAGCTTTATAGACCGAGCCATGCGAGCGTTAAAGCAACAACTGACGGTCGTAGCGTGGAATAGTAGCTCCAGAAGGGTCCACACAATCACTATCGGCCGAGACAGAGGCCAAAATGTGTAAGGACGCCACAATCACGCATCGAACAATTTCACTCTCCTTTTACTGGTCGGCGTTGGAGATGTCCTTACTGGACAAGCAACAACTTCCATCACACCAGTTGGCCAGTTATACATTTGTCTTGTGTACAACAAAACAAAACAAAACAATTGATGCAATATGATTTTATTGAACAGTTTACAGACATGTTGTATTGTAAATTAAAACGTGATGACATGTTAAATTCTTTATTCCACGATGGCATATGGATTGCCATTTATTCGTAAAGTGTGCATACACTGATGGACGTAGGATCTGTATACATCAAGCAAGCAACTTCTAGCTAGCGAAGTTTCGTTGGGTGTAGCAGTCGAGGTTGCCTCCAGTGTCTGTGCCGAGCATGCCACAGTAGCGCATGTAGTAGCCGATGCGATCGACGTTGGCATCGTTCTGGCCCATGCCACACTCGAGCCCGCCGTTGATGATATTGGTGATTACGCCGTATCTAGGCACCCGACCGGCAGCGGTATCGGCGGCCGTCGGCGTCCAGCGGCGGAGGGCGACGTCGTGGGACGATGGCTTGTTGCCTTGCGCCGTCATCCAGAACCACATGGCCGTCCTGAAGGACACCACCGCATCCGTGGACACTAGGCCCGGGTTGCTCACGAGGTCCTTCCAGATCGCTCTCCCGGCGAGATCGTAGTTGGACTGCCTGGTCATTCGCACGAGGAATTACTGGTTCATCAGAACAACCTTTTCGGCAAAGCAACCAAGACCCAGCCGGGTCTTTGTTGTTATTAACAATTAATTGCACGCGAAAACGAAAGCTTATTTGGATCAGGTTTGGATCAGGTCTTTGTTGTTATTTCTTCTACAGATTATTTGAGTCTGTGATATTTTCGTTGACCTATATATCATTTTGCATGTCGAAGATGCTTCAGAGTAAGCTATAATAATTTGCGATTTTGCTCACCCTGTCAATTGAATGGGTCCCCTCCCATATTAGGGTGGAGAGGTGGCCTTGTTTATCTCCTCCTTGAAGCAGTAGCCCCACTGGAACTGGTCGGCAGCGCCTCTCGTCCCGCCTGCACGTTGGCACGGAATGCACAAACACGTACTTCGGTTAATCAAGACAGCCACGAATTCCGTTGAAAACAACAATCGAAATCAACACTGACAGACTGACGTACCGGTGGTCTCGTGGGAGGTCTGGCCGAAGAAGGCGGCGAGCTCGCGCTTGACATCGTCCGCGCTGCCGGTGGTTCCGAAGCCCGGGAAGGTGTTGGCAGCGGCGATGAAGGCGTCGTACGTGTAGAACCCCTGGCCGGGCACAGCGAGTTGTCGCGGTTGGGCAGCATGCTCGCATACATGGACTGCGTGATGACGGATCCCACGCCCTGCGCGGCGGCGCCGCCCACCGCCACGGCGAGCAGAAGCGCGGCGAGCGCAGCAAACCGCGCCATGCTCACTAGCTCACGTACAGCAGATCGCTCGTGTAATGTATAGCTCAAGGAGAGCTTGCAAGAGGCCTGTGTGATGAAGCTGCTGCTTGGTTTGCACCGGTACTTATAGCTGCCATGCTCGGGGTGCAGCGCGGGGATAACGCGGTGACGATGCACGGTCCATCGCGCGCCTATACTTTTCCACGTTGCGCCCATCTTTGCGGGGAGAAAATTTGACGGGCCGCGGTGACTGGACGATGGACGCATGTGGCGTCTCGTTATCACTCTCGCAGCCGCGTGCTTGCAGACGCATATGGCCTCCCATGTATATACTTCTACGTGAATTCCACACGTCTGCACAAACA